TTCCTTCCTTCGTTACTTCTCTCTACCCCCCCTTCTCTCTCCTTCCCTCTTTCCTCCTTCTGTGGCCCAACTCTAATGGGAAGGGAAGGGGAGGTTTTTGAAGATGCCTTCCCCCCCCCTTGCTTCCCCTTCTGACATCTCTTCCAGTGATGTCAGGGGCGTTGCATATGCTAATGAGCTTTTATGTGAATAGCCTAGTGGCTCATTAGCATACCATATGCTAATGAGCTCCTGCAGCTCTTTTTCTAAGAAAAGACCCCTGGTTGTCCCAAATGGGCTTAATAAGGGTGGCTTCCAATGACAGAGATGGCATAGGCTGTGTGTACCTATGGAGTTGCCTGTAAAGTGGACATGCATTTATTTATCTGTATGCACAGAGCACAGGAAATTATGACTGGCTCCATTTATGTGGACTTGGCCTTGAGCACAAAGGGAAGGAAATGCATGTATTCACTTTACATGTGCGGTGTTCACATGGTGGTACTTAAAAACATTTGAGGTAGCCCTCAAAGGATATAATATAGGCATAGAAAAAGTAAGTTGCTCTTATGATTGAACAGTTCAGGTAAAGTTATACAGGTTGGCTAATTTTACTTCTGACTACCTCAGCCTAATGAAAGCTTATATGGACAATATTTTCAGCAGAAGCTTAAATTGTCCACTTGTAGTCCATAGTATCCATACTCAATTACATTTTCTGGCAACTAACCAAACCACAGAATGTTTCCTAAAGTCCCCAGAAGTGTGAGAAAACCCTTCTTAAATATGAATTCACTGCTCTCAAGCAGTGCAATACAAGTGTGCCTTCCTACTTCACTGAAATATCTGACAGTGGTACAGGTAAGAATTCAAGTCCAGTGGCACCTTTAAGTCCATCAGAGTCTTATTCAAGGTATAAGCTTTCGTGAGCCTGCACACTTCTTCAGATACAATGAAATGGAAGTTACCAGTCCATACAGTTCCCCATTGGGGAGGGTGGTATATAAATCTAATAAAATAAATAAATAAATAAACGTAGAAGGTGAGCAGCAAATTAACATACAATATAATAAAAGGTGTTTAACAGATGCAAGGACCAAACTGGAATAACAACCTTGGTTTATATGGTAACTATTTGTTTGGGTCTAATTCCAGGGGAAAACATAGTGAAGGATATAAATATATCAAAATTGAAGATAGATGGGCTCCTTAACATATCTACCTGTCTATCTCCAATTTTGATATATTTCCTTCACTATGTTTTCCCCTGGAATTAAACACAAACAAACGATGACCATATAAG